GGGGGGGGGGGGGGGGGAGCCACAGGGGAAAAAAATAGATTATGAAGCTACTAAACTGAACTGTGTGCTGTTAGGCCTCCAGATTTAAATGATAGCTTGATGTCCAGGAGAAAGCAGAGTGGACAATAATGGACTAAATCAAGCATTGACAACATGTGGTCCTTTGGCTATGTAAGGCCTCTGCATTTTGCTTTTGTGCTCCTCAGAATATCTAAAAACCAGCAATGTTTCCTGCCTTTTTGAGACAGGAAGCAGATGAAATTTTTAAAATAGGCACATAACAGTTAATGTAACAGACCCTGCATGTAAAGGGCACTCCTTGGTTACTAAAGAGTTGATTAGGGATAGATTATACAGATTAATTTCTAACTCAGTACGTCTTCATGTGTCAATAAAAGGTGTTGTTAAAGCAGATACATAATTTCCGTAAACTTGGGTTTGTCATCTAAAAAGAAATTCAACTTCCTGCACATCTCTGACGTATATAGGACAGGGGTCGTTTCACACAGAAGGTGTAAACATTAATGCATACATGTGTTGAAAATTTTGAAGTGATATTAACCCATGCAATATAAGATGATGTCAAATGAGCTATTTGACAATTTGTAAACAGTGTGGGATGCTGTAATGATCAGTGGCACAAATTAATTAGCATGCAGAAGACTTCTTTACAGTCTAATTAAATGACAAAATATTTATTCTTTTAACGAAGATATATAATTAGAAAATAGCATCTCCTAATTGAAATATCTGACCTCTGAAATGAGAAAACGACACAAAATAATTTAATGACTGAGTATTGGAGGATGCATACTTCCCCAGTTCCACATTAGTCTTTTTATTGCCTTCCAATAGTTGTTAGTTGGTAAAACAAGCATCTGAGCCAATATAAACTGGCTGAGAGGCATCCTTAGATACTATTTCTCTGTATCTTCAAATTCCTTCTCTGGAGTTGTTCCATTGAAAGTATTCCAGAATAAGTGGCATCGAACATGTTCCTTTTATCAGCAAGTAATCCCATGAAAGCATAAGAACACTGGAAGAGCTCTTGTGAGCCTTCCAGTCGACCATTTTGTCCCCTACATTTGCTAGCTAGAGGCCTCTTGCATATGTGTATGAATCGACTAGAAGAGCTCTTGCTCACTGTTCTTCCCACCCAACCACTGGTTTTCAGAAATATATTGCCTATGGACATAGACTTTCTGTATGGCTCATCTAAGACAAGACCCATTAAAAAATTGGCTCATCCCCTTTTAGAGTCATCTAAGTTTCACTGGAGATCAAGGTTTTGTGTTTTGAGAACTACCTCTTTTTGTAATGCATGAACCATCAGAGTACTTAAGAATATAGTGTGGAAGGACAAACTGCCTGAGCAGATTATAAACACCTGTGCTCCTTCCTCCCCTCCCTTCTTGGCTCTCCCCATCGTCAGGATGACCCAGCTGTCAATCAAACAGCAGTGGCCAATCAAACAGCAGTGTTGGGCAGGAGGCAAGAAGGAGGGAGGACAAGATGGCTACTGGGAGCTCTGCAGTCACTGGCCTCATGACAAATAGGCTGAATAAACAGAGCCTAAGGTCAGGAGCCAAATAAAGAGGCAAACTAAAAGATACAGCCCTGATGAGAAACAGGCAATGGTAAAGGAGGCAGCAGCTGAGAACACTGGGGAGAGAGAGGCATTTATTTCCTTCCCTCAGACCTGACATGAGGGAAAAGTTCTTGTTGTTTCCCTCAGCTGGAGCCAAGATTTGGAAGAAGAGAAGAATCAAGAAGCCCAGCCAGGAGCAAACAAGGAGAAAAAATGAAGAAAAAGTAAATACTTTGATAGAAGAAAAATAGAAAACAGAAACTAAAAAAAGATGAAAGAGAGAGCGAACTCCACAGAAAAAGGAGCATAGCTGGATAGAAAGTGATAAGAGAGATATACAGGGATTAAGACAACAGAAATACAGAAGTTACCAATAAGCAAATATATTAGAGATATAGAAGAGAAAGTTATAAGAATATAGTGAAATTGGACTTTAAAGAAAATATTGTATGTAAAGAGCTTATACAAAATAGTTAAATTTGAAAATAGTTTTATTTATTTATTTATTCCATTAGTATGGTTGCCCATCTCAACAAGTGACTCTTGTTAATAATCTTGTTATTAAGATTAATTTCTGAACTAGTTGAAGGCATTTATAATTTACATTTCCTTTGTTTCTGTTTGTTTGTAAGCTTTCCTTTTGTAAAATAAAATTCTCCCAGCAACCACTGAAGGGAGATATAAAAATCCAAGCAGCTGTCCAAGTTTCCAATACTTTGGTTTATTGAGTCTGGGTCCATCTCATTATTGGAAGGAAGGAAGGAAGGAAGACTTATAGAATGTTTTTTTGTTTCTCTCTCTCTCTCTCTCTCTCTTTTTTTCCCCCCTGTACCAGGTCATATTACTTCATCAGCTGTAGGAAATGGTTTTTCATGGCATCTTTTTACTTGAGATCATTGCTGTGCAAAGCAGGAGTTCTACTGATGTTTGGATGGTTTGCCTAGTTATTGACCAAGAAGTTCTCTGCTTTATAACATGGTGTGACAATATTGGCCATAAGCTCTTCCAGCTCTGAGAGCCTGTCCAGCTCATTCTATGCATTCATTCTGGAGCTCAATAAAATGTCCCCATCATCTGACAAGGTTCTAGGAGAACCAACATCATAAAACTCTGATGCTAGACTTTTTTGCTTGAGAAGAGAAGAGAAGGGAAGAGAAGGGAAGGGAAGAGAAGAGAAGAGAAGAGAAGAGAAGAGAAGAGAAGAGAAGAGAAGAGAAGAGAAGAGAAGAGATTTAATTCTCAAAATTATGCTTCATTGCACTGTGTATTTAGCAGCTTTTAGCTCTGGCACTTTTTGTAAGGATGATGAAAGAGGAGGAGGAGGCAGCAGCAAAGAAATATTTGGAAAATGAGATGAAATGAACAGGGATTGTACTTACTTTTGAAAATATATAAGGTGTCCAAGGGATACATTCCCATTTTTTAAAAAAACTTTTAAAAGTTCCAGAGAAGGGAATTAACCTTTAAAAAAAACAACTTGGCACTCTTATAAAAATGTCAGCCTTTTTAAATGCTAATGAAAAAATTGGAAGAGATCCCTCGGCCATCTTGTAAATGCTTAAAAAATCAAATGCAACTCTCAAGCCATCCCATGATTATTTTGAGAGAGAAGTATGAACAGTAGCCAGATTTAGCTTGTAACCAGTATTTAGCCCACCATGAATTTCTCAAAGGGAAGATCTCCAAAGCCTCCCATAGAGGTATTCACAGTGATTTTCTTTTCTTTTCCTTTTTTATGTTCCTAAGGAAGAATCCTGTTCCTTAAAAGGCTGAGTTTTAGCTCTTGTCAAACTCTGGGCTCAATCCATTCTCAATTAACTGTGCTTGTAGTGGAACAAAGAGAGTGAAATGTGGGTGCAGACTTTGTTATAGATAGTAAAATGATTAAATCTTTTGAAAACCTTAGAGGAACTGGTGCCTCTTTTCCTGACACAGCAAGCTTCCTTGAGAAGGGAATTCTATGGATAAAGCAACATAACTGAAAATTCTCTTTGTTCTGGTTGCCACCCCTTTGCTTTAGGAAAGCTGAATCCCATCCATGAAGATCATTATGCTTAAAGGTATGAGGAGTGGGAAGAGGTGATGTGATGTCTAGACCCATACCTAGTCCTGCAGCAACATGGAAAAGGCACTGTGCCACATGCTGCCATGTGAATTATACCATTTGCCATCATGGATATTTATATAATTTGGGGTATATTATACATTAAATTGAAAGGCCTGGTGTGATATGGTTCATGAAGAGTTGGACACGACTTAACGACTGAACAACAACAACATGCATGGAATGCCATAATCTGCAATCTATAACAATTCTGAGTTCAGCACATCAGGAGTAGTAGTTTCAGAACTTATTGGTCAACCCCAGGCAAAATATCCCATGTTCACTTCCAAGCATCTCCAAATAGGGTTTAAAAAGCTCTGGACAGCCCATGCTCGCACACATTAAGAGATACAGTATTAATACAAATGAATCAACAGTCAGATCATGTTTAGGTCAGCTAAACTCAGAAGCTCTGCAAACTTCTAAGGCTCATTTTCTTACCTCATAATAACTCTGGACAGCATTCATGAAAGCTTCATCAGCAACAATCTGAGTTTCTCCATTGAGAAAGGCTTGAAAGCGGTCCTTGACAGTCTGCAGTTGCTGTTTACTTATCTGGACGGGGGGAGGGGGGGAGTAAAAAACAAAGGAAACAAATATTTAGAATGACATAACTGAACTCAGGGAGGCAGTGAAGGACAGGAAGGCCTGGCGCAATATGGTTCATGGGGTCACAAAGAGTCAGACACGACTTAACGACTGAACAGCAACCACAACAACAGGAATATTAATATTGGCCATAAACTGGGTGATTTAAATTCATGGCTGTCAAAGCAATTTTAACTAAACAATAAAGGTGGAGTTGGTTTTTATGCTCATCTGTTTACAAACTAATCATATTGCCTACATTTACATCGCACCTTGGGTACATTTGATCTGCCCTCATTTGATCTCCATTCTAACAACTCTGTGTGGTGGATTTGGCTGAGAGATAGTGACTGGCCAAAATCACCCAGTGGTTGAGTGGGGACTTGCTCTGTGTGCTCTTCTGAGGTCAAGTCCAATATGTTAGCCACTATAATACACTGCTTCTCAATTCCCATATTTCAAGTTGATTTTCATTATTCAAAACCTTTTAAAGAAATGAAATCTAAGATTGTGCTGAATGCTGAAATGTTAATCCAGAGACATATGAACATACACACTTCTACCTAGCATTCATCATATAAGAATACTTTAGTGCAAAAGCCATATTACTAGATGCACTGGTGTTTCATTTCAGTTAGGGAAATGTTTTATGCAAATAGGAATTCCACCTATTAAAATTATTTGAACATGTGCAGTGTTTAAACCTTCAGTTTGAACAAGAACAGACTCATATAATGACAAATGTGTCTGTGGCCTTGGGAGGGTCCACTGATGCACCCCAAACTATCTGAATTCAGGGTAATGTCTAAGCATTGCCATTCTTTCTGTTCCATATGAGCTTGAAAATATACTCACTATATTCAGCTTTCTCTTTACAGTGAATTACAGTGATTGACATTATACTATGCTGAAATTGGAGTGTCATACTGAATTGCCTTCTATATCAGTAGATCTTTCTATTTTCTACTGATTCCACTCATAAATCTATGCACGGGCTATGCAATGGGAGACACACATACCTCCAGCCAGACTTGCTGATCTGGTTTCTGAAGAACCCACAATTTATTTTTGTCACTTGGGTACAGGATTTATTATTTGGTTTTATGTTCCTAGGCCACAGACTGATATGTTCATTTCCCCGTTCTTTATCCCATCTCTGTATGAGTTCCAATCCTGCCCTTTTATCATACATGCACGTTTTTATCTCCTATTTTAGTTGCTTCCACTCATTTTTTTTTTTACTTCTCTTTGTTGCACTTAACCTGTGACTTATCCCAACTGACATATTCTAT